CCCCTCCCGGTTTCCCCCGGCGTACAGAGGCCTCCGAAACTCCCATCTTCCTCGTCCTCTCGCTCAGCTCAGGAAGGTAAGCCGCATCTTTCTCGCCCCTTTGCTAGCTTCAGCTTCTTTGAATCCCATAAATCCGACTTCCAACGGGATTGATTAAATCCAGCTACCAAACAGCCTATTAAGCTGACGAAATCTTCTCTGTGATCAGATAGAAAAGGAAAGCTAGGGTTTTGTTTCATCCTGGTTCGATGGCGATGCACGCGGGGGTTGGACTTTCTAAAGCCGCGTTCTTGATAGGGGCTGGTAATCCTATTGCTTGAATGTTTTCTATCCGACCTTCTTGGACTCTGATGGCGATTCTTTGATTGTTGTTTAGGTTTCACGGGATCAATACTGCTGCGTAACGGGAAGCTCTCTGATCTAATAGGCGATCTTCAGGTGTGGTTGTTTCTTCCTGTTGTTTTATGTTTGGAAGTATCGACATACATACCACTTTAATTCTATCTATTTACTTGTATACCACCTAAACTTCAATTTTTTTCATGCATAGCACTCTACCTATGCCTGAAAAAATGTATTTCGTTATTAAAAGTTAAAATGGTGGTATTTTCTAATGTGATATAAGTGTAAAAAAAATTAAAGTTTATGTGTTTGTTATGTAAATTCATAGGAATTGGGTGGTATGTATGTAAATATTATCGGATATGTTGGACTAATTATGGATGATAAAATTAATGGTTAGTGTGATTAGCATGAATGATTGAATCAATATGCTATTTCTGGAAGAATTTTGGGTTAATTGTTGGTGCTGTAAATTTCATTTGCAGAATTTGCTGAAGTCGGCAGAGGAGAATGGTGTTGATTCTACTGATTCTGTTGTTGCACAGGTTTGCTTATTCTTTTCTTCGGTTTTACTTTTCCAGCTTGGTATTTTTGCATGGGGTTTGTACCTTCGCACTTTTGTATATTTGTATGTATTTACATATCTAAAGCCGAATTGTGATATTTACACTTATAACACCATAGTATCATAAACCGATGCACGAATATGCATTTCACTTTTGAAAAGATAGCTATGGTGGTATTTTTGATGTGATGTTATCTACGTGCGTAATACTGATGTAATATTTTTTCCCAACTTAGGTTGTTCGGAGCCATAAGAGGCCAACATTAACCAAATAAAGTAAATTTGTTAATTTTATGCCAAAATTAAAATTAATGACAAAAAAATCGATTAAATACCTGATTTTTTAACAAGTCTCGAATATTATAGGAAGATTTAAGTGTCACTTAGTTCTTATGTATTTATACATTTAATAAATAAACTTTAATTTTTTTGCATTTATGTCACTTTATGTGTATAAAAAAGTGTATTTCACATTTTAAAAATTAAAATGGTGCTGTTTTTTATTTGATTTAAAAATTTGAAATGTTTTAAAGGTTAGATATGTAAATACATAGGAATTGGGTGCTGTGAGTTTTTTTTTTTTATTTTTTATTTTTATGGTAAAAATAAATTTCAAGCGCTTTAAAATTTTAGACTTTTGATTGGAAGTAAATAAATTTAAAGTAATATTTTAACGAATGTTAATTGTTAGATATCTATGGTCCTAGCTAGAATTCAAACATTGCTCAGATTGAAATCACAATTTCTTAAAATTTGAGGTATGCTTGTGTCAACATAATTGGATATATCCTTTGCCAAAGAACAAAGTACTATTAACTTGATTCATTTACTGTCCCTGGTTTTTTTTCTTAATCTTTTGTCTTCCATTTGGCCATCACAATCAATCTCGATCACAAAAATATCATTTATTCATGTATGAATATTACAAAAAATAGCATGGATTAAATTAATAATTTATTTATCTAAATAATACTAAAAATCATGATATAATATTAGGTCCAAATGAGATACATCGGGCTGTATAGAGGTATTGGTGAAATTGGAGTAACTTGCTTAACAAATCTTTGAAGGGAAAATTTAAAACTATGATACCCAATATTAAGTACAATAAAATTTTTTGTGCATGCTGTAATTATAAAAGAGTTTTTTTGGATCAAAATGAAATTACTAGTGATGAATAGGTATGAGATGTGGTGGGGTAAGGTTTCATGCTTAGAAGCATGCTAAGAGTTAAACAAATTGAAACTAGGCAATCATTCCTGTTGATGAGTTTAGCTCTTTTAGCTAATGATGATATTAATGTGTTAGCTATGTAATTTTTAAGGATTATAAGGTGCCATGGCAAAAAAAAAAAATCTAGTTATTAATTTCACTAATAGAGATAAGTTAACACCATATTCGGGAGTATTACATCTTGTTTATTTTGACTTTTATTTCTTCATTACTCAAATTTCATTGATGGGATTTTAATTTACTGCCATGCTACTTCGCATGCTAAATTTGTTTTTAAATCATGATCTTTAGGTCAACAGATTGGCCATGGAGATTCGTCAACTTGCTTCGGCACGTTCAATTACTGTTGTGAATGGTGGTGGTTCAGGGGAAGGTATGTTTAATGCTCATTGATGAAAATCAAGTAGCGTTCAATGTATGTTATGTAAAGTAAGGTTGGATGGGGACTATTCAATTAAGAGACATATTTTTGTGGGATGAGGAAGTTATTTTTTATTTTCTATGTTGTTATTCTTACACATTCGGCTTATACCTCTCTCTTTGGATGCATCTCATGCCGCTCTCTCTTAATTCTTTTACATTCATTTGTCTTCTCTTCCCATTCCTCTTATTCTATTTCCCAGCATGTTTCTCATGCATCATCTATCACAATTCGGGTCTGGAAGTTGGTACACCCTGATAACACAAGGTGCAATAAAAATAATTGAGCATGTTTTGAATTTTATAAAAAAATAATTATATAGAGATAATAATTAAAATAAGCAAGAAAAGACATATTTATGTTATTTTATGGATTAAAATGTTAAACTGATACAACTGAAAGAAATAAGAGAATAAATGAATGAGACTGATGAGAGATTGAAAAAAAATAAAAAAAATAAATCTAAAGTTGAAAAGTATGTTTAGGTGGAGACAATTTAGAAATCGGTTGGCTGAAATCTGTTAAATAAAAATATCAACGAGCGAGTTTGATAAATCAAACTCAATAAATAAAATTAATTCATTAAAGTATATATGGTAGAAAAAAAAGTTGCAATATGAATAACAAATAAGCATGATTTGTTATATTGATAACATAATTTGCAAAATAATGTCAATAGTGATGATCATGAATAAGTGTAAATTAACTAATACACTTTTATGTAAATATTTGTACGCAACAATGGCAACTGTCTCTGTATCGATATGATTCATCAATCATTTAGCAGTATTTGATAATATACAATATTAGTATTTATACAATCGGTTAAGTTAGATATTAATCTCATGAAAATTCACTGATTTCTCTGAGAATTCGTTCGTCCAGCAAACAATAATAATAATAATAATAATAATAAAATGATACCTAAATATTATATTATAATATCACTTATATTTCATAAATCACAATAAAAGCATATGAACTAAACTACAAAATGTCCTGAGTATTTATAAACAATTATGAAATCATAATAATAAGATTTCACATAACAACATTATAAATAAATAATAATTATAGAAACATGATATACTAGTAATTAAATCGAAATCTATACATCAATAAAACAAAGCTACACACAGGAAAGTCATTATGAATTTAATACAAGTAATAAGGTTAATGACCCCAACTAAGAATCATATGTTTATCTCATAATAAAGAGTAGTTAATTTCTTTTGTAATGGTACTAAAAACTTTACATAAGTTTTAATGGCTCAACCATTATTAATTCCTATCTTTTTTTTTCTCCCATATCTTTGATTGCTCCCATTTGACTCATTTGCTAGTTATCTCTTCCAATATTGTCTTTATTTCTTCTTCTCTCACTCATTCGCGCATCTTTTTCTCCATGGGCCCTGAAAGATCCCCACCTAACTCTATTATATTAGATGTTTATTTTGTTAAATCTTTAGGAGAAAGTTTTATTAATTCAATAATACATTACCCAAATTTTTACCCTTGTAAGGGGGCTCCTTATTTATGGTTTAAGACATCTTCTATACCCAAACTCCTATTGTTTAAGGTGACCTTACAAACCTAAGGGAAAGATTGTTGAAGTGGTCAATTCAAGGAAACTTTTGCTAATAGAGGGCTCTTCCCCATTTTAGCCATTATTGGCTCATAATTCATAGTCTTAACCACTAAAGAATAGTCAGAGATGCTCTTCGTCTAATTATCATGTTTTTGAAGCACATTTTAGGCATGATCACTGACCTAGGGGACTTGGCTACACCCTTATTAATGTGATTTTTTTAACTGTGATCTTATGATGTAGATATTTTGGGGTAGCTTACATGTATTTATAAGCCGATTCTCCTTTATTTTTGTGGATTAAAAAATGAAATATTTTCATTGAAAATCTGAATTAGATGAATGAAGTAGGGCAAGGCGTAAATTGAATCAAGGATGTAATGTATCAGCAATAAAATTGAGATCCTCCATGTTCAGATTTGTGGTGTTTCCAAATCAAGTTTCTGCCATTCTTTGTACAAGAAACAATTATCAGTAAACTTCTCTTCTACAAATTAAATTACTATAAATCATGAATCAGTTTTTAGCAATTTGTGGACTCCTATCTTCTTGAACTGGCTACAACAATATGTGTGAAAGAAGTTTCCATTTCATGTTATTTATTCCAAACTAGGAAAGTAGGTCCTCATAGTTTTTTTGTGTTGATGCTAACGTCAATAGCATGAGAACTGGTAGGAGTAAGAACTTATCTGATAGCATTACTATCAATTTTTTTTTTCTTTGATAAAATCATAAAATAACTATATATTTCAAATTGTTTTTTGCTATCTTGATAAACAAGGTTCTTATCAATATAGATTGAGGTTAATGATCATAAGAGATTCATTGCGCCTTCGATTTTGATCCGACTTTCTTAAAGGTATTTTTTATTCATATCCGTTCATATTTACAATAAAACATTAGACATCATGCCGAATTTAGCCTATTCACTGTTCTTATATACCAGACTATTTTGTTCAAAGGAGTAATATTCAAATGTGAAGTTTGGATCAACAGCAGAGCCAATCCAATCCATATTGTACTATATTCGTACACTTGATTTGAGCTTTTTTTTCTTAATAACAATCGTTTTCCTTAGATATTTCAAAATTCTACATACGGTCTCCATGTGCCTCTCTCTTTGATTAGTCATCAATTGGCTCATAATAGTTTTTCAGAACCTAATGTCTTGTTTAGTATCTGGATGACATGTAATTTTTCTTACAAGTCTGTGATATATCCTTTACCAACTTCAAATTTTGATGTTGACTATAGGTTGGTAAGCTGGTTCACCACTCAGGAATCTACATTTTTCTTAGAGTTATATGTCATATTCTTTTTGGAAGACAGATTCCTTTCTTTGACTGGCAATTTTCATTCTTAAAAATAGTGTTAACTTTTCTTTGTAGACAACTATTTCTTCTTTTGATGCAACAATCTCCATTTCTAGTATATATTGAAGGTTTTTTGGATCTTTGATGTCATTTTTGTAAGTCTTTTATTGAGATTAATCAATTATTCTTCAAATTTTCAGTGATAATAATCTCATTAACATAAAGTTTAATATATATAAATGCCTTTATTCGATGTTTTCATGAGGAGTGTGGCATGACATCAGTAGTAGCCTGGAAACTTGCTACTCTCTAGCGAATCTTTCTAGCGAGACACTTTTTTTTTTGAATTCATAATGATATCTCTTTACGTTCCACACATGATTATTTTTTTGGTAGAGCCTCAAATTTTGGAGATGACCTTTATGTTAACTTCTTCCTCCATGTATACAATTAAGAAGGACCTTTTTTTTCTGCCTATTGAAATGATAGTTAATTTAGATTTACAACCAATGATATAATAAATTGGAATGTATTGAGTTTTGCCACAAATTCCTTCTACTTTTTCAGATATTTATCATAAATCTTAATTCTTTATCCTAATAATGTTATCCAATCTTCTATTTTGAAAAAAACATATAAGCTTTGCACCACTACTTTGTTATAGTTACATGCATCATATTTTTATTTTGTTGCATTGTTTATGCTTCAATTACGAGTTACTTGCTTATTCTCGAAAGTTAAATTCCATGCATGTTAAAAAAAATTAATTGTAGCAAATGGTAAATCTAATTTTTGGGGTATTCATGATGAAATTTATGGTTTTTATCTATATCTTATGTTTTCTATATTCTACCTCAGCTCCTTATACCGAAGTATTTTTTAAGTCTTTTTATATTTTTAGAAGGCTAGTAAGCATTACATTACTTTATCTTGCTAACATGGATGCTAATTATATTTTCTTTGTTGAGAACTTTGTATCTTATAAAAGCCTTTCAAGCCTCCAAGTTTTCCCATAAATATTTTTATAGCTCCTCTACTAGTATGCATTGAATGTACTTTTATCATAACTTTGACAATTATATCGGGGACATTGAGCAAACCGTTTGATCAAGATGCTATTGCTTTGTCGATAGAATGATTTATTATCGCTTTGTATGATACCGGAAGAGAAGCCCAAACCACAAAAGAAACACAAATATTATTATTGAATTTGAAATCAGTTACAACGACTCTTCAAAACATGAAATAAACGACAAACAAACACAAAGACACAAGTCAACACCTCGAAAGTGTATCCCAAGGGCGGTGGAGGTTGGTTGGGTGGTTGGCAAGGGTGGTGGCAGCAAACGAGTGTTGATGGGAGTGAGGGGAAGGTGCAAAATTGCGAGGACAGGAAGCATAGGTGGTCGGCGATAGGCGGATTGATGGCTAGAAGGTGTTGAACAGTAAGGGCAGCCTTGGGGAAGACCTGGGAGAGCTAGGTAGGGGTGCTGGTGGGATGCCGAGATGGACCTGAATGGGCCGGACAACAGGTTGTTGCAGCAGAATGGGGGTCGGCAGTGCAGGGGAAGCTAGGGGTTGAGCCGGCGGCTAAAGGAAGTGGAGGAGAAGAAGTCGGGAAGGTGAAAGGGGGAGATCCAATCATCACTTTGGAATAAGATACATCCGGAGCATCACCATCTCCTCGGATATATCCTTATGAAAGGGGGAAGGGTTTTCACATAGAAAATTTGAAATCAAACACAACAAAAACTACTTCCAAAAACTGAAAACAGCAACTAAATAGACTCTTACATGAAGAAGAAAGGAAAGAGGTAAAAAAGGAAACTTCCACGCAAAATAAAGGGGTGGTGAGGCTAGAAATATTCAAAAATTAACCATAAAAATACTACAAATGAAGAAGACGCCTAAAAAAAAAGAGGAGAGGGCAATAGGGGGTGGGAGCGCACTTCCACGGGGCCTTGAAGGGGAGAATGTCTTGGGATTGGGAGTATTAATAACGCTCCAAGTAGCGGACACAACGACCGGTCCGACTGGCCCCTGTCTCGGTCGGTCCAGCCGGCCCAAATGTGGACCGACTTAGCTACTGAGACCCGTAGCGGGAAGGAGAGTCGCCTTAGTAGAGAGAAGGGGGAAAGCCACTGAGGGAGAGATCTAATACACTGAAATATTTTTTTATTCTTATGAAATGTGCAATTTTTGTTTTTCTTTAAATATTTTTTGTTCTTAGGTGAGCTATTTAAGACCTGTCATTCTTATTGCATTTTTTTAAGTATTTCAATGGCCTTTTGCTCTATAAAAGTTGATCTTAAGGCTTGTTATTATTAGGGTAAAGAAGATATTTCCTATCTGTTAAAGCCCTACCCTCATCATTATGTATTTCCTTCTTTCACCATATCTCCCATCTTTCCGTCTTGATTCTATCACACTTCTCTAGTTCTCCCTCTCCCTCCCTCTGCTTTCTATCTCTTGTTCGTGTTGTTCTCTCTTCCTTTCTCTCACTCATCCACTTTTATCCATTTGTCTTAATCTCTATTGTAAATTCTCTATTGAGCCTCTCTCACTTCTCTCTCGTCTTTTTTCAGTCGAGTCTTTCTTTTTTCTTCTTTTGCTCGTTCAATGTCTTCCCTCTTCCTATTTTTATATCCTCAAATGTTTCACAGCGCTTTTCTCTGCTCCTTTTGCTCCTGTTTCAGAGACCTTTTTTTCTAACTATTCTCTCTTTTTCTTTGTCCCTTTCATCTCATCCATTTTTCTTTCCCTGACAGCCCACAAAACCCTCTTGATTTCCCCACGAAAAATGTTGTTTTTCATTTGCTGAAATCAGTAAACAGCAAACTATTTTTATTTTTTCATTAAGTCCATTTTCATGAAATGTCGCATTTTTATATCCATTTATTTGTAATGGCACTCTAATCTACTGATTAGATAGTAATTCTTCAATTTGCATGAGCAATTACTATCATAGAGCGTTTCTATTATTTAGGAAGATGGCTGATTTAGTTTTTTTTTTTCAATGTCATGTCTGATCTCCATTAAAATCACAACTAAGGTAGAAAATAACAAACTGACGAAATTTTGTACGGGCAATTCCTTATTGCTCATTATAGTATTTGTTCGAATTGTAGGATAATATGAATACTTCGATAATTAATTTTGCGGGCAGCATTTATTGGTCCTTCTCTAGTGCTTATTTAATATTTATTTTTCCAGGAAATTTGACAACATTTTTGGTGCCAGCTGCAACATTGGGTGCCTTAGGCTATGGCTATATGTGGTGGAAGGTAACTTCATATTCATTCTACTTAATAACACATGCAACATATGTTGTATTCTGTGTTTTAGTAGTTTTATCTTGTTTAGAAGTTACAATCTAACAATTTTTTACATTTTTCTGGCAGAAATGAGGATGCTGCTAAAATTAATAAATTTTAAATTTGCGTACTAAGAGGGATACCTTAGTGTAATTCGAAAAAACACCATGAGACGTGCAGTCTTCACTGAGGCTTGATGAGCTGTACGTCTTAGTGTGGCTTTGATGCACCTCTACGCAATTTGTGGGAGGTGCTAAACATAAAAGCCTAGGGTTTATTTAATTTTAAAACTTTAACTTTTAAATTTAATACATAAAATAAATCTTATTTTATTATTTTGCCGAGTCAAATAAAAGCAAAAACTGCAGGCACCTCCTAGAATCCTAGCTGCACGCTGCATTCTCACCTAATGCCCTTTGGAACAGTGCACTGCTGCTGCTGCATTGCCCATGATGAAAGAGGAAGATGGTTGAGATTAAAGATTAGAAGAAAGATGGGAAGAAGTTGACACAGTCACACAATTGAGGATGAGGAAGAATAGAAGATAATTCACTATAATGATGATTGTATTGAAAATCTACTTAGTTATGAATTTTGAATTCATAAACGATAATCTTAATGACTTTAGGCTATAATTGTTTACACCCAATAGGAAGCGAGAGAGACATACTTATGATCTTACCTAGAGTTATTATACTTTGCACGTGAATGTTGCATTATTACATGTTTGTTACACATTGCTCACATGAGCAAGTTTGCACTTGCACTCTATCGTGCACTTGGGAGCGTATGACCCCATATGCTTATAGTGGGTATTTATGCCTCACTTCAGCACACCACTTCATGCCTGTTTCTTGACGTCCTTATGTCACAGTGCACCACGCGGGTACATGTTTGCACTTACACTTGTGTATCTTTACATGTTTTCTTTCATTAGCATATTGTATCTTTGCATTTCATATGCTTCTGGTTAACACCTCAACTTGTGTCCTTACCCACTTAGTTTGACACTCACGTGTCCTCCATGGCGGCAACTTGCACACCAAGCCTACCAAGCATGTGATTCCCCCTTATGGGAGTTCCATCCTTTCTCTTTCTTGTGACACCACCTTGGAATACTATAGGAGCTTCCCATTGTGTCACTAGGCACAGTTCATGCATCCTAGCCTCTGAACCCGTTCACTCGGGTATTTGACTTTCACCAAGCTCGGGTCATGCTCCTCAGCCTCCAACCCCACTTGGCACATGAGCCATATTACACATCCCCTGTGACAACATGTTACACTGTCACCAACACGTTCTTTTGCATGAGGCGGGTGCTTGCTTGCTTGCATAATGCATCATACATTGTATATACTTGTCACATGCATGTGTGTTTTGCTTGCTATTGGGGAAAAGTGTAATTCTCCTTCGTGGCATCCTATACTCTAGGTGGCCAAGCACAATATCATCTGTGTGATGTGCCCTGCATGTGCATCTTTGCACCATTGGGTATTCGTCACTAGTAGACGCCACCGTATACTTGTGATGAATATTCGCTATCTCGTGATCACTCCTACTTCGACGGAGCAGTCACAACGGACTATATCACTTTGCGTCAACATGTACATTCCTGATTATCTTGACTACGAATCAGACTCGTTAGCTGAGTTACTCATTGCTGGTCATGATGCGACAAAAAGTATAGCCTACGAGGATGTCTTAGTGGACAACATTAGCTATCGCACCGTGACTGGCAAGCATATGTTGTGTTAAGGTTCCAAGGGATCCAACACGTGCCACTTTTATTTTTCCTTTCCTAGGACCTATTTTAAAATTATAAATAAAAATTATATTTTTCTTATATATGCATATTATTTTTCAAGATCTATTTTGAAACTATTGCATAAAGTTGAGACCATACATGAGGTCAATCTTTCAAAAGCTTGTTGTTCATATCTATCTATTTATTTTTTAATACTCCGAGTTGTTATATTTAAGCTATTATAATCTTATTTTGGTGTTAGTAAGTCGCTTGTTATTTCATATTTTTTATTAACTTAAATGGTTTGATTATGATGTTTATGCCTCGTCTCGCAGATAAGAAATGCCTCAATGTCTGATTGAGCAATTTCAATTCTTGAGTTTAGAAATGATTATATGAGAGAGATTGTTAAAATGACTCATATTAAAAGATGATATATGTAAATAAATTTAGGTGATTTGAACATGTATAAAAAAATGCAATAGATGCACCAATTAGGATCAAAGTATTAGGAATATCAAAAGCGACTGATAAAAACTATCTTGCTTAAAATGTGTAAGACTTGCAAAAAATGGAATTACATTTAATTGTAACACTAAATAGTTTATATTGGAGAGAACTCATATGTTGAACCAACGTAATTGTATACATGATAAATCTAACAATTATTAGGGCTCTTCTATAAAGAATTTGTCACATGATTTAAATTGTGAAAAAAAATTAGCATGGTAACCGTTAATTATTGAATCGTGCTACAAATTATAAGTGTTAGGATTCACTATCGTTTGTAGCTTACAGGGTACCTTTCTGAATTATATTTACAAATAACATGGTTTATGAAATTAGCTGCTATAAAAAATTAAATTATATATAGAATAATAATAATTAATGAGACAAGTGTGAAAATGGTACCTTATAGGTGTTGAAAGAGTTTCCCCAGATGATTATTAAAGAGTATGGGGACTAATTTAACACTTTCATAAACTATGAAACTAAAATGAGCCCACATAAATAATCAAGGGATTATGTTGACACATTACTTAATCATTAATGCATAATTTATTAATTATACTAAAGTAATATATATTGAAATATAACTGTTTTATGTTCCAGGGCCTCTCATTCTCTGATCTTATGTATGTTACTAAGCGTAACATGGCAAATGCTGTTTCAAACATGACAAAACATCTGGAACAAGTTTCAAACGCTCTTGCTGTAAGCATGCCTTTTGCAAATTTTTTTTGTTACATTTTCCTACTGAAAGACACTTTATGTTTAGTATTTATATTGTCTGTAAGTAAGATGGTTGGATATCATATTTACTATGAATTACGTTGTTCCCTCTTAGTTTTTTTTTTTTTGGGGGGGGGGGGGGGGGGGTTAAAGTGATTGAGGTTAAATCCCATTTGTTATTTGCCTTGTTAGGGGAAAATTTACATACCCATCACACAAATCTTATGTATTTACATATCTTACACCTAAAATTTCATATTTACATACTTTCACTTTGGTGCTTCAAACCTATGCTTGAAACTGTGTTATTTCACTTTTAAAAAGTGATAATAATGTTTTTTTTTTATGTGATATTAAAGGTTTGAGTGTTGTGTGTAAATATGAAAGTTTTGATCTGAGTTATGTGGATACATAAGTATTGTGTGCTATTTCTGTAAACACCTCCTTTATTTTGGCATTTACATTCATAGCACACATATCATATATATTTACATATCTAACAGCTAAACTATACTTTTCTGAATTTATTCCACCCAAATCTTCCATATCACGTTAAAATTACACCTTTTCACGCACAGGTAAGGTGGCATATATATAGAGATTGAAGTTTAGGTGTTAAATATGTAAATACATAGGCATGAAGTGGAATGTATGTAATTTCGTTCTTTTATTTATTTATCTTCCTTGAATCTTGCCAATGTCCATGGTTTCAGTCTTTTTTGATCTGATTAACATGGTCCAATGTTCTTATCTATCATGCTTTATTCAGCTTGCTTTTTACACAATGCTCCTTGTTACCTCGCTCACACTGCTTTTGAACGGCAGTTTCTTAGGATTTTTATATTTATATTTATATTATTATTATTAGTAGTAGTAGTAGTAGTAGGAAGATTTTAATACATAACCTTAACACGTAAACTACAACTTTAACGTATATGCCACTTTACCTATGCAAGTAAAGGTGTAATTCACTTTTTAAAAGTTTAAAAGTGACATTTTTAATGTGATATGAAAGATTTGAGTGGTACAAGTGCAAAATGTAAATTTTAGGTGCTAGATATGTAAATAAATAAGAATTGAGTGGTACCCCTTATTATTATTATTATTATCTCCAAGGACATTTTGCTTTACTGGTGCTGCTAGCTCTTGGTTGTTTGTTTCTTTATTAGTTACTATTCAAAACTGAACAACAGTATTGATTTTGTTTTGGGGCATTTACATACTAACCACACAATTCTTATGTATTTACATATCTAACACCTAAACTTCAATATTTACATTCATAGCACTCAAATCTTTAAATTCACATAAAAAATGCCACTTTTAACTAACTTTTTAAAAGTAAATGTAACTTTTTATGCATAGGTGCATCGCACCAACATGTTATAAATTTAAATATCAAACATTAGGTGTTAAATGCACAAATCCATACGAATTGTGTGGTATGTATGTAAATTTCCCTTTTCATTATTATACGTAATCCTCAATTATTGACTTGCTAAGATCTCTCATCTCTCTTCTACTGATAGGCGACAAAGAGGCATCTAACACAGAGGATTGAGGGCCTCGATGGAAAGCTTGACGAACAGAAATTGATATCGAGCGAAATAAAAGATGAGGTGATAATCTTTACAAAATACCGTCAAGTTTTTTATTTTTCCTGCTCACCTGGACTACGTCCTGTTGTATTTATACTTCCTTATTCATTATTATTTCAATGATAAATAATGTTGTTCTAAGCAGGTCACCAATGTTCGTGGAACACTTGAGAATATCGGTTTCGATTTGACCTCTCTTCAACAAATTGTTTTTGGCATTGTAAGTAAAATTTTAATTTATTTTATATATATATATATATATATTTCTTTTTTCAGTGTCATTTTCTATTCCCTTGTCTTCTTCTATTGATTCCCTTATCTTTACTTATTTAATTACGCAGGATGGCAAGATGAGTGTAATTGAAAAGAAGCAGGTATGTTTTGAAATAAAGTTTTTTGCTAGACACCTTTATGTAAATCTAATTTGCATAGTAAGGAGGTGGAATGGCGCAAATTGTCATCATCTTCAGCGGCCATTAACTTTATTCTAAATATTTGGGGTTGATTTTATGAAGTCATTTTTCATTCATTAATAGTAGCTGTTGCAAAAGTTAAATACACATTTTCATGCTTGTGTTTATCACACCAAAGCATTGCAATTGCAAATATGAAAGTTTAGGTGTTTAAGGTGTGTAAATATAAAAGAATCGTGGTTATGGGAGAGCATGGTTTGCAAATTTGAGTGATGATTGTGAAATTGCAATTATGAAGATTATTGGGTATCTAAATGGCATCTTAGTACACAAATTCTTCAATGCATTTATGAAAATGTTTATGCACTATGGTTGATGCACAACATAGATATGGATGTTATGAGTACACGCAAGGCATTTAATTTTGTTCTCTTTCTTAATAACACTTGCGCTTATATTTTACCTGGGGCATTTACACACATAGCCGACAATTCTTTTGTATTTACATATCTCACACCTAAACTTTCATGCTTACACACAACCCACCCTCAAATCTTTAATATCACACAAAAAATAACACTAGTATCTCTTTTTAAAAGTGATGCATAGGCTTAAAGTACCATAGCTCTATTTAAATATGAAAGTTTAGGTGAAGATATGTAAAAAATATATAAGAATTGTGTGGTAGGTATGTAAATTTCCCATTTTACATTTACTTGTATTAATGCTATTATTATTTTGGCAGGCATTTCTGTGTGCTGGTATTCTGCACCTCTGTAATATTTTTCCAGATAAAGATGGAAAAATGCGTGAGCTTTTGCAGGTTTGTTCTCATCTTCTGTATTCTCACATTTGAAATTTCTTTCTTGCAAACTCTTTTTATATTCGGATTCTGTTTTTATTTATTTATTTTCTTATATGAGTGATTTTCGCATAGTCTTGTATTTATTAACTCTGATGAAAGTTTTGATTACAATAAAGATTGCTAGGTGTGTAAACGAATCAAAGCTCGAGCGAATTGGTTTGTTCGCTTGCAGCTCGTGTTGGCTTGAAATTAACTCGAATTATTTAAAAAATAGAAGACAAGCTACGAGCTACTTAGTGAGTCGAACACGAGTTGTTAGCGAATGATGAGTTTTTTTAACAGCCATAAAGATTAATGCATTTAATTAAAGCTTAAGTGTCCTCTAATTCTGTTTTATGGAGCTATGAGTCAAGTATTTCTCCTTCTTGCATATAAATATTGAGATATTTGCATCCTTACAACACAATTAATTATATATTTACATATCTAACTCTTTTATTTATTTATTTATTTATCTTTTATTGCTATTTTTCCTTTTCTTATTGTTATCTTATATCATGTTCTTCATCTTAACTCTCTTATAATTCAGGATGGGCCAAAGCGTTCTACTTTGCGTGGATATCTTCTACCTGGAGAAGAATCTGGAAATTTAAAGGCATGTTTTCCTTATTTATTTAAGCATTTCAATTTATTATTTAAATATATGACTATTTACATAAAAACAACTCAACTCCTATGTTTTTACATATCTAACGCCTAAACTTTCAATTTTTACACGTCACTGGAATCATGCATGAAAAGTTCAAATAGTGATATTTTTGGTTTGATGTAAAAGAATTGAGTGGTATAAATGTAAAAAGTAAAATTGAAGAGTTAGCTATGTAAATACAGTGGAAGTAGCTGGTACTTCTGTAAATGCCTTTTAAATATAATTTGGCTAAACTTGGTGCTTCTGGTTTATTTATCTTTTTTTTTTATTTACTTTTTATTTATAGGGATTAAAACACATTTTGCAAGCTCTAGAGACAGGAAACATGGAGACCGCCAATTTGGACGGTTTATGGCCAAACAATTCGGATTCATCGGAGACTATGAAGGGTTTTTCAAGGTACTAACTTAAAACCTATCTATTTTATATTTTCAGTTTTGACCCTCGATTCTTAAAACTTAGCTTCATCATCATTCTAACCTCAATTAGTTGGCTCATCTTTGGTTTGGTAAAGTTACATGCATACTACACAATTATTATGCATTTACATATCTAACCTTGAAAGTTTGACATTTACATTTTTATATGAAAAGTTGTATTCCACTTTTAAAATGTTAGTGATAGTTGTATTGTTTGATGTGATGTCAAAGATTTGATTTTTATGTATGTAAATATGAAAGCTTAGGTTTTAGATATGTAAATATATAAGAATTGCGTTGGTATGTATGTAAATGCCCCTTGAAAAAATGCAGCTTTTTGCTACACTTTATGTTGTCCTGTTCCCCATTATAAGCTTCAATATCCCTTTGCAAAAAAAATGTCTTCTTGAGCTCAATCTCTTATCAACCATAAAAGGGAAATTTGCATATCTAACACCCATAATTTGATATTTGCACTTACAACACATGAAAATGTGTATTTTAATTTAAAAAAAACTGCACTTACAACACATGAAAATGTGTATTTTAATTTTAAAAAAAACAGTGATGGTGATATTTTTGATGCGATGTTAAAGATTTTAGAGCGGAGTTTCATGTAAATATGAATGTTCGGATGATAGATATGTAAATACGTAAGTACTGTATGGTATGCATGTAAATGCCAAATTCTATTATTGCAATCTATCAACTGAATATATGTTCATGATTCTGCAAAAATTACTTTGCTACTAATAATTAAAAATTATTCATTTGCAGGACTGCTTCCATTAAATGCTGAAAGAGGAGGGACTGTGTAAAAAGAATGCAATTTAGCTCAAAAAGGACTTCTCTTTTTCCTTAATTATATTTTCCACCTAAAAGGTTAATAACCTTTAACCACAAATGTGAAGTTCATTACTCCATACTTATTTTCTCTTTATACATAATTTGTTTGAGAAATATTAAATGAAGTTTTATGCTTCCAACCTTTATTTGCTATGGGTGTGGCCTTTTATTCCATCAATATCAAAGATTTTTCCTATTTTATACTACATTTTTTTGACATTTTGCAGTTTCTGATTTCTATTTTTTTTTTGTATTTATATATGTGACATTTAAATTTTCATATTTATCATAATGCTTAGGTTGTAAATTCCAATGTATTTATATATCTAACATGCTTATCATCTTACATTTGCATTGAAAGGTGTGCTTCACTTTTTAGATGTTAAAATGGTTGTGTTTTTGATGTGTTGTGAAAGATTTGGGTAATATAAATGTAAATTGTAAAATTTAGGTGTTAGATATGTAAATCAATGTTATCAAAGTGCAATGTGCAATGCGACGTGTATGGTTTCATTTTTTCTTTAAAAGTGTAAAGCTTAGAGGAAGTGATTAATAGGCTATATATAATTATTTAATGTGTAAATATATTCATTAATGATTGTAAAGATAAAATATGACTTAAAAGTTGATATAAAATAGAACAAAAATGTGGATAAATCTGTCAATTAAGTTTTGAATAATTTTTAATAGTTTGTTGTATTTAAAATTTTAAAAAATATCAAAAAAAAAAAATGAAAATTAAACCAAAGTGTCTCAATGGAGCGAAGCAAATATATTGGAATTGGTCGGTATCTATGTAAATGTCATTTTACATTAATAGTATTTTAATTTCATCATTCTATCATAACCTATGTGTTAAAATGTGGATTTCATTTAATTCTTATTAACCATTAAACTTAGGATTTTTATTTATGGAACGAGTATAATTAATTTTTTTTAAAATATGATCCTCTTTAGCATCATATCACCTCGAGGAATCCTTCCCACCAATGGTTTGTGAAAATGTGACTGGGTCATCTACAAGTGTACCCTCCTGACTCCTCATAAGAAAATGCAGGTCATCATCTCCTTTCAGACTCACTCTAATGGTTCCTTCTTTCAGTCTTTGTTATATACGTATATAAATCAAGTTTGTTGACGATCAGCCAGCGCCCAATAGAGCCTAGCCCTGAGGACCAAAATGGTCTAGCGAAGCCGGCACCCGCTTAATTTAATTTTTATCATTTACTTGTAAAAATATAAATTGATTGAATAGTTTATGGAGGTTTAGTTTGTAAAAGTTTTATCTTTTTTTCTAAAAGTATGTAATTTTATTGAAATATTGTTAGGGCAATTTACTTATCACACAATTAATGTAATATAAATTGAAAATTTTAGATGAATTGGATTTGAGGGGTTATTTTGTCATTTAAAAGCCATATGAAATATTACGAATATTATTTTTTCAGTGAAAATATATTTTTTTTCATTCATAAGTAAAGCAACATATACGTAAAAATTAAAGTACATGTGTTAGATATGTAAATACATGAGAATTAAGTGGCATGTATGTAAATCTTCTTAATTTTTAACTCTATTATTGCAAACATACACTTATTTGTATTAAGAGTAATCAGGTTATATTAAATGAATGAGATCAGTGTTATGATTTTTAATTAGTCCCTTCAATATATATATGAATGAGATCAGTTTGACTTTTGTTCAGGGTTCAAACTGCAAAAAAGTTTTTTACAGATCATATTTTTGGTGCAAGTCTGGCTTTTCTTCATTGTTTATGGTGTTTTGTGATCTTTTGATTGTCGGAGCACAAAGTACATGTGTTAGATCGGTTCAATTGTGAATCACTCTGTCGGTCGATTCGATAGAAGTTTAGAATCATTTCTGTATGGAATCTGGATTGAACAAATAAGAACCTATCAATTCAAATATTATATAATTTTAATATTTTGATTTTGATTGGACGTCCAAAACTAGAATATGTAAATTAAAAATAGAGAAAATATCGTGTTTTAGAATGTTCATTTAGAATATTGTTCAAAATACTCTAAATTACAGTCTTATATTGAAATATTATTTGTATAATCCATAAAAATGATTTTAATATATCATTATTCTAATATTTAAATTATAGTAAATTAATTTTAGTATTTATTATATAGTATGATAACTTTAGTTGAACTACTGAACCTTGAACTTATTTTATGTACGGTCCAATTTTCACAACCTTACGTAATTATATATGAACATTTATATATATATATATATATATATATATCACAATACTTTTATGTATTTATATCAATCTAACACCTAAACTTCAATATTTACATATATGCTCCCTTACTTATCTATGGTAGTATTTTTCAAAACATTTGGGTGGCAAAATGTCAAGAAGCAAAGTTGTGTTAGACATATAAATCCATAAGAATTGTGTGATATACATAATATATGAATTAGACAAGGTAAAAAATCTGATAAAAATCAATATATATAACTAAAATATTAATTAAAGTTGGTCCGGTTAGTGTATTCTATTTTTGCAAAAAAAAAAGACAATGTTTGCAACTACTGTATAAATTTAAGAGAAAGAAGAGCACAAAAAGGTAAAAGAAGCAGAAGATGACTTCAAAGAGCAAGAGCTTTCTTTTCTTCATCTTCTTCTTTGCTTCCATTCTCTTCATGTCTTTGAGCACAGATGCAAGGCTTCTGCATGAGACCCTAAACCATGGTGAGAGCTTCATCTTCCACTTATCCAACCTTAGTGTTAACCATAGTTAAATTTTGGTCGCTACACAGCACCCAATCCTTATGCATACACTACTTATCTCACACCAAAAATTTCATTTTTACAAACCCAGCACCCAATTCACACTTTTCAACAGTGCGGTTGCGTTTGTAAAAATCAAAGTTTTGATGTGAGATACCTAAACCATGGTGAGAGCTTCTTCTTCCACTTAAATAAATATCTGTTCAATGAATTTTTTTATAAAATTTTGATTAAAAATGAAGAAAATAATCAAGTAATTGGTTGTTGATTGAATATAATTTCATCAATTTTTATGGGGGAAAATGAAAATTAAGGCCCTTTTTTTCCATCAGAGCAAAATTTTCAACAAAATAGGTAAAAAGACAAGCTTGAAATTTTATAAAAGCAGCTGCATGTATCACAACTTCATCTTTCTGTTCAGAAAATCTTCATTGAACTGCAGGTCCTGCAGCAGAGAATGACCTTCGGAGAGGAAATATTATACCTCCGTCTCCAGCTGATAGCGGGAGTAGAAGCCAAGTTCCCATCGCAAATCCGCACAATTAACCACAAAGATTTTCTTAGTCGCACGACTTTATAAAAGCATCAAAATAATCTCCCAAATCTTTAAAATTTAGGTTTAAGGTAGTCCTCATGAAGGACTATTAGAACTCAATTTTAAAATAGTCGAAGATTATTTTGACATTTCTATAAATTATCTGATTAAAATGATTGGAAATTATTTTGATACTTTACTCTTATATATACATCATATATTTATATTGATAACACTCAAATCGTTGACAACACATCAAAACATCAAAGATATAATTTTACTAACTTTTTAGAAGTCAAAATGCACCTATTTATGCTGAAGTTCATGGCACTAAGTTGTTAAAAATGTAAATATCAAATTATAGGGGTTAGATATGTAAATACCTAAAAATTGATTGGCAAGTGAGTAAATTTTAGGGAAACTTACAAAAATAATAAGGTGCATCTTCAATATGGTTAATGTTAAATGAATCTAGCTTGCATCTTGCATAATTTAGTGTTAAGTCTGTCTAACATTTTGTAACAAGTGTCAAAATATCTTAATCTCAAAAGCATTACTCAAGAATGATAAACAAATCAAATATAGAATATAGATAGTAAAATATATTTGGAAAAATGCGAAAGTTTTTACATTTTGTCATCATCTGTGCCAACATAGGAGGGAGATGAAAAAAGAATCTTTTGAATATTTATTGTGTCGAGCTCAAATTTGTTCGTGAATCATGTTAAAAGAATATAATGTAAAAGTAGAATCAAGAGAGAGAGAGAGAGGAGGCAGATTTAGGAACTAAGCATTTGATTGATGAGTGCAAGAAAATTCATCATAGTCTGTTACTGTTACGGAGATTTAACACACATTCAAAAGAGAAAAGACAATTGTTAATGACACCAGAAGTTTTTATGTAGAAAACCTAGAAAAAGAAAAAAATCACGGGGTCTAGCATAGCTGAATAAATCTCTATAAATTTGATATTACATGTGCAATCTCTTGTTCCACAAGCAGGAAAATGTTGATTACTCTTCGGAGACATAACGTCGGTGCACGAATGAACTTGTTGTAAGAAGTGAGTGGCAGTCGATGATTATCAGTGGATGATGGCAAATAGTAGATGATGGCGGTTGACTGCGATCAATGGCGTTTAGCGGTTGTAAAAAACGGTCGATTGGGGTTGACAACGGCAATAGTAATCGACGACGGTCGACAATGGTCGACAACTGTCCGCGGTGGTTGACGAAGGTCGGCAGTGGTCGAGGACGGTCGGCGATTGTTGACGATAGTTAGCGATGGTTGACGACGGTGGGCGGTGGTCGATGGTGGCCGACGACAATCGATGACTACAGGGTGTCGCTGGACTTCAACTCATTTTCAAAGTTTTAAGTTTTCTCTCAAGCCTCAACCCCCTCTAATGAGAGGGGTGATGTTCAATTTATAGTGTTCTGTGTGTGATTAGTGCACAAATATGAACCATTTTAATCAGACGATCCGAAAAGCTTTCTTCGATCAGACGGCGTTTGGCAGAAATTTGAGTGCCTTAACAATGTCGAATTGAGTAATATTGGGCTCGTTGGATTCGTCTTGTCAAGTGCTCGGTTTGATTCGAGCAATATTGGGCTCGTTGGATTCGTCTTGTCGAGTGCTCGGTTTGATTCAATTTGATTATAGGCTTTCTAGATTTGACATTCATTTAA